AAAATCAGGACTGAATTGTTGTAGTAACCCCACTTAAACATGAAAGTAGGGATGCTAGGTGAACTGGAAGTGAAGAAAAAGGAAGGAAGACCGTCAAAGACAGAGGAAGTACCTGCATTTTTGCTCTACGCTGCGGAGAAGTTACAAAAAGCAGGCAGGGAGATGAGATAATGTGAGCGCGGAGAGGGGTAGAGAAGTCCGAGTAGAGAGCATAGCAGATCAACATTGCGACGCAGACAAGATATCGAACGGTGGGCGGGCCCTGATAAGTTTGGTGGGATTTGATCAAAGTCCTTAGCGCCTAGCGTCTTAGTGACGCGTTTCGATGTGGAAAGGTAGCGCGACCTTCTGCACTGGCGGAACACAGACATGTATCCGTGCGGCGACTAATTCACTGAGGCTGAGCCCGGACCTTGCCTTTAAGGCCTGGTTGTGGTGCGCATTTGGAATTGTAAAGGTTCGCGATTGTACAGGTGCTTCTGCGGGAGATAAGCCGTTTGGACAGAGCGAGCACCGAAGTAAGGCGTGAATTATATTGTTCTGCTGTAGTCACGTACAATGCGCGACGCATTGACGCGTTGAAACGTGTGCTCGCCCTCGTTTTCTCTGCGCTCTCAACGAAGAGAGAACGCGTCGAGCAAACTCGCCAACTGTACTAAGCGCCGTTCATATAGGAGGTGGAGGATGGACCGCTCAGGCTCCCCGCCCGCGCGGCGGAGCGTACGCTGCGACGCTCGACCATTTTTGGATTGCTGCCCTGGACCGAAGGGGTAGCGTCGTTGTTGGCATGACCTTCAGAATGGCTACCGCAGAAAGCGCGTCGCTGCGAGCGCAATGTACGTGATTGCGGCAGGAACGTCGTAATTCACGCCTTACTTCAGGTGCTCGCTCTGTCCAAACGGCTTATCTCCTTTTGCGGTACGCTACGCAAGCTCCACTCTCAATCGTTTCGAGCTTGAACCTGACCTATTGGGGCTAGCAGGTGCTCTATTGATGGCGAAACTCGCGACCAAAAAAGCGGGGGGAGGGGGTAATCATTTGAATACGAAGTTGTTTGTGCTATCTGTACGACCTAGCATAAATCATTTGTTTCTTTTTAGCTGTCAACTGAGACCATGAAGTGCAAAAAAACCGTTTTACAGGCAAATCGGCTGGAATTTTTCGTGATGTGATAGTTTGGTCCGAAAGTTGGTCACGGTTGTTCGTGCATGATAATTCAGTACAGAAGAATAACCTTTCAATGGAGCGGGCTGTTCTCATGAAATGGTAGGGCTGTGCAATGAAGTGGACCTCACCTTCACAAAGCAGCTGACGTAAGTCATCCGCACGTAATGCTGTGCCGTCATCTTTCTTGTTTGTCAGATTGTAATTCGGTGAAGCCAGCGATCGTAGTAACGGCACGGTCAATCCGTGCTCCTGCACATATTCTGTAAAATTCTTCATTGAAATTTATTCTTGTTTTTTGCAGTGGTCTAGGCAAGGTCCGAACAAAATGTTGTCCATGCAAACCTTATAACTTTTCAATTTCCTCCATGTTAGGCGGTGAAGAAAGCTGTGGCTTAGACCGCCATCGATTTTTCAGAATTAGACCTATCGGGAGATCGATCGATCAGCTTGAATCACCTGTATCCAGAGGGGAGACGCGCTTTTCTCCTCTTCGGACCAGGGTCATCAAAGCTGCGCGATGATTGAACCCTAAGTTTAGGAGGCTTGAAGCTCAGGAGGTTATGATTACACACTGGCTTGCTCATGCTTTAAGCCTATGGTTAGGCTTAGGCTTAATCCAAGGCTTATCGAAAGCAAATCAGAATGTTCTTTCCTAGAGTGACCCGACCTGAGGAAGAGAATTGCAACGCACCCCCGGAGGGTTACTAATACCAAAAATAGGAAACCGTTTCTGAAACTGTTCGTCAACACTGACCGGGTCCATTAGATGGATCTGACCACTCGATCATCGCTTGTTTCCGCATTATGTACCTCGGTGACTGATAAGCCGCGCCCAATGGAGTTGAGCGATGCTCTTCCGCCTCCGAATTAACAGCTTAACGATTGAAGCGGGCACATAGACCCAACATGGCCAGGAAACGAGGTTGCCCGTACCACTCTTTTCCGCATTGCCGTTTTTGAACTTCACCAGAAACCACCAGAAACTACCATCAGAAACTTCACAAGGGATAGACGAAGAAAAAAAATCGCCGGTTTTAATGGCCAAAGTCCGAACTCACCGGCCGTCCGTGCCATTTCGATGTGATAAGTTTCTGGACATGGACGTAGCGGATACTGTCCATTTTGTAATTGGTGGTGACGCTCATGTCCTTGCCGGGGGGGGGATAACATTCAAAAAATAGGCGATTGTTAGTGCCACTAAGACAAGCGCCAGGAGAGGTCCAGAGACCTTTGAGCAGACCGTTCCTGCCACATGCTCCCCAGCAGTCTCTTCTCCTCTAAGCCTGTCCGCTCTAAGGGTTTACTTCCTTGAAATCGCCATACGCCTGCCCGCCCCCCCCCCCTTCCACCTCCTTGGTGTTTTCTATCACATATTCACGAGTCTAAGATCACAAACAAGGTGAAGGCAGGAGTACTTTGTACGACACAGACGTCCACTAAAACTCACCACGATAGGATTTGACGCATTTTTTACCTACCGATGGTGATGATTGTGCCGCCATCTTCACGGAATTCGCCAGCTGCTTGCGTGGGGTCGTTGTATCCGCCGCTTCTTAACATATCTTCACTAGAGAATGACTGGAATGCGATGCAGTTTGAATTTTTCCTGTACTACTTAACTCGCTGGAGACGTATGTATACCCAGAAATGATTGCTAAGGTCCACTGAAAGAAAGCTGCGTTGGAACAGAAGTGCGGCGTCAAATCTACTTGCTTGTAGCGCCTGTTCTGAAGATCGCGTCTGCCATACAAGTACTATTGAACAGCTTAGGGTTAGGCATCGTAGCGTTATAGTAATAAAGATTGCACGATTGATGTTGTTGACCAGAGTGTAAGGTAACTGGGATGGCCCAACTGTTCCTACCAGATTCTAACCCGAACTTCTACCCTTGAATTTCTCTGCTGTAGAGTCTTGCCGTGTGAAGTTAAGGGGATGTGCCTCTTCATCAGTGTTCAAATTGGAATTATGAAAGAGCCATAGATAAGTAACATCAACTGTAAAGCTCCGGGACGATATACGAACGGACGAGCACAGCCGCGATGTTGAATTAGAGTAGAATTTCGAAGTTGCCAAACGGATAGCCCTAGAATTGATGAATAAGAAAAAAAACAGCAGCACACTATTCAATACCAAAACCCCAAACACCCAAACTTTTATTTTTCATCGAAACTTTATTTGTAGGGGTTATTTGATGCCTTGATTACGGAAAGGACATTATTTTTCAGCGGTGGCACCGTCTGGCACCAGTTACGTCACCTTGTCACGACACTTGTTTCCAACAAGTTCGATGTGAACCTCTGTATGGGGATTATCTGGTGTCTTGATTGCGAAGCATTCGTTTTCAGCATCAGCGCTGTCCCGAGACGATTCTAGCGATAGAACGAACAGTCGAAGCAGGCAAAATCGCCTAGTGGGCAGACTACGGCGGACCCCCTGAGGTGTAGACTGACACGCATTAGGGAAAGATTGACGCGCAGTTGAGCTGGTACCCCCACCAGACTCACTGCAGGTCCATAGCGTCGACGACTGATTAGATAGCAGCGAGAGCACTAGCGTTGAGGAGGGCACAAAGACGAGAGTCGTACCAACGCGGAAATCAGCGGGCAAGGGGAGGGTCTCATTTCTCAGTTCTGGGCCGTTTCTCTTGGTTTTTCCTTCAGAACAGTTTAACCATGCTATTCCCCCATTCCCCCCCTAACCACCATTTGGAAAAGACACAGGACACAAGATCCCCGGCAGCTCCTGTCGAAATTTCATCCGGTACGGTTCAACCCGCTCTATGAGCTGTGCTCGTAAGCACGAAGCACCGTAAATTGCCTAGCGACGGTCACTGTTGCCGAAAAAGTAAGATTGCAGTTGCATTGGTAGTAGGAATGAACGATTGACGAGAACTCTCGAATGGACATTTCATGCTGCTCGGCGAAGATCCCGTCCCTCTTATTGGCAGGCCCCTTCTCTTGCTTTGATGAACAGGCGGGGTCGGATGCGAGAAAGATGTGGTCTTTTTCTGGACGATCAACGTGAAATGTGCTTTTAAGGGTCCCTAGCAGTTCCCGTAGCTCTCCTCGTTAACTTTAGACCAATTACCACACCTAGTTTCATTTTCGAGCGCAGTAACCAACACCACCGCGACCGTAGAGAGTCGATGTCTGCTAGTAGCGATTGGCCTAGATCCGTAAAGTCTGACACCTGCCGAATGTGCCTCCGAAAATACGGTTGAGCCTAGTGAAGCCGGCACAAAATTCACGGGTTTTGCCATCAGGCTGTCTTGTTTCCCCATTTCTAATTCTGGTATTGCAACGGTCAGTTCTGATGGCCATCTCGTAGCTCCTGTCGGGAAATTTTCCTTCATCGGGCGTTCTTGAAAGTCGCAGCTCTTGCAGCTTCACACACAGCTCACATAAGCATGTGACCTTCCATGGGATGAATTGTGAAGTGCGTGAATATGTGTGAAGCCAAAAGAGCTGTGTCCGTCCCAAGAATGCCCAATCAAGAGTTTTCCTTCCTTCCTTCTCAAGGTAGTGAAAATGTTTTTATCCAGTTATTTGACCTACAGAAACCAATGTGATAGTAATAGGGCGCTAGACTGCATAAGGGAATGTAAAAATCTGAGGATGTTGAACAACAAATTTTGGAAGGCATTCTTTCGGGAAAACTGGTTTCCTCAACGAACGAATTGTTAGGGTGTCCCCCAAGAGGCCCAATCGCGCGGCGAAGGAAGAGACGCAGATGCGGCAAAGGACGAGTCGCAGCGCGTGCTGTGCGATATGAGACGTAGTATGGTACACTCTATTTAACCTGACGCCTAACCGCTACAGTATGCGCTGCGACTCGTCCTTTGCCGCGTCTGCGTCTCTTCCTTCGCCGCGCGATGGGCCTCTTGGGGACACCCGAATTGATATGGTATCAGGTGAACCAAAAGGTTTTTGTTCCATTTTTACTGCTGTGATTTGTCGCTAACTGCCTGGTTGAAGGAAAAGGGCTCCCACTACATTTGGGGCTAGATCAGGTCATACTGAAAAAGCAGTTCGACATGTCCAGTCCGTGTCCAGTGGCCCCATTTTATTTCGTTTTTTCCTGACTTCCAATTTTGTGTGAGTAATTCCTTGTTGGTAGTTGGTACTGCGTCTATACCCTGAACGTTAAACTCCGTCTGTCGGGCCTATTCAGGTGGTTTTCGCAGACTCCGAATCGCTATTTTGAATGCTCCCAAATTCCTGTTTTTCTTCAGGTAGCTCACCCTTCGATGTTGGTCCCTGTTTCGTTCAGTGACGGAATATCCAGGTCAAACAGATCTGCTGTTGAAGTATAAACGTTCAAATCCGCGATCAGATCAACGCTGCTGGCGTAACGGATGACACCAAATCGTGTTTGATACTGCGCTGGCTTGACCCACTCGGTGAGTTTCGTAAACGCTGACACCACGTAGTCAGTGGCCTGAAATTGAATTGCCTTGGCAAACGTATCATTCTGCCTTCATTGAAGGCAATTTTATCTACTGCGACAGACCTTAAAGGCACAGGTCGCGACCAGATCGTCAGAGAAATATTTGATGTGAGAGATAGCAAGGCTTTATGGCACTGTCGCGGCTCTGTGTGCCACTTGGATGGCAACGCTGTCCCTTCACGACTGCTGCCATTCTTGTCCTTCGCGAAGTCTGCTCCCCCTCTCGCAACAACCCCTTTCGCGTTCCCCTTTCTTCGCAACGCTTTGTCTCTGCGTTTTCCTATGGTTGACTTCAGAAGAATAGGTCTTTCTATGTTTACCACGGATTTCTTTTGCTTTTTAGCACTGACAGTTCTTTTCGCCTCACGTTTCAATTTCGAGCCAAACAACGCAATAGTTTATAGCGACCCGAGCCTTTAGAAAGGCTTAACCACCATTTTGCCACTATAGGAGGTTGTCACACTGTTAGTAGAAATTATATGGAACCCTCTCAGCTTCTTTGAGCTGAATCGCTGAAGTTCCTCTGGCCTTCACCTATTTACTTCGCTTCATTTTTTATTATTATATAAAGAAAACATGAGTGCAGCCTACCGAGATTATTCCACCAGGCGTCATGGCTACGTTAGCCTCCATGAGAAGGAAGACGTCCAGCCAGACAGTTTTCAGAACGCAGTTGCATCCAGTGTTGTTAATGCTTGCCACTGGTAGACTAGGTATCGTCGGTGTAGGCTTCTGAGCGGGCTTGGTAGCTGTAGTCTCATAATTGGGCACAGTAGATGGAAACACAGTAGACGTTTCGTGATTGGATACGGTAGGAAGAGGTGCAGTCGGGTCTGTAATGAAGACTTTGCGTTGCTCTTTCGAGCAGGGACAACTGTCACGTTCGCACCTTTCCTCCCCTCTAGGGGAGTTTCAATACGACCCCCATTACCGCCATCAATCTTAGAAGGATCCCCCAATACGATTCCTTTTCCCTCTTGTCCAACTACCACACTCACCATCATGGCTGTTTCTGTATTAATTGATTATGTGACCAATCGACACAGCTCAACCCCCACTTTTTCCTCCAATCATTCAAACTTCGCGTCGAGCGGAGTTTGCCAATATTTAATTAATTAATTTTCACTACCTTCGTCAAACTTTCACCAAATCTCTCAAAATTCGTCCAAACGCAACGCCTTTTAATAACCTCCGTCAACCCCCGTTCCCACTATGATAACTTTGCTCAACCACAAAATGCGACCCCCCCACTTCCCGAAATCTTAATGCGACCTCCTAGCAGGGTCAACCGTCCGTCGGACAAGAGTCCAACGAGAGGTTGGGGGTTGTATTTGGGGGGTGGAAAAGACGGGGGGTTGTATTTCAGCTAGCGTTAATGTTATGGTAAAGGATGGATGAATTTCAGTGACGGAGAGCGGATCAAGTTGTTGACTGAGATTTTGGGTGCGAAAATTTTGCCGTTTCACATTCGATATACCCCTCTCCCTTCCCTAGAATCGCCCTCATGATGGCGATGGGGGGGGGGTCGTATCGAGGCCCTCTACAAGGGAGAGGGGTTGTGAAATTTTCGAAATTGGTCCAACGTGACGGTTGACTCTGCCTCCTAGTTCGGATAGTGCGAACGGACAGTTGGCCCTGCCTTAGAGGTTCGTATGATCCACTGAAATTTTTTAGCTGAGTAATTGAAGAAATAAGGGCATTGGGCTCTATCTAGTAGGATTTATAGCACGTGTTATGGAATATCATTGCAATCTGACCGGTAGTAGCAGATGACGGCGTGGTGTTCGTATCATGATGAGGTAGGTGGTTAGTGTTCTGTAGCAATCAGAAAGAAGATGGTGCGCAGTTGCTATTTCCGTCCGAATCCCAGTGTGGAGTGTGTGGTGACGTAGTTGAAGCGGTAGTTGTTTGAGGAGTACTGGTAGGAGCACCAGTTGTAGATGGGTAGACAGGTGCTGTAATATTGTGAGCTTGCATGCTGCAGATTACTTTCAATGGTAGCTTCATCCTTAACAATTTTCCTTTTTATTCCGCGAGATAAGAAAAAATAATGGTCGGTTTTTTGACTCTGTTTTTGTGACCCTGCTAAAAACCCAGCGGATCGTTGTTGAGGGACGCTTATCTCTGGGATGATCCTTGTAGTCGCATGATCTCTATCCTACAGTTGGGTTCTGGAGCGAAATCGCCCAGTCAATCGATTTCTTATCACTGGGGTTGAGTCAATTGTATGTATTTATTTCTTTATGCTATGCAAAACGGGACTCAGGGTTGAAGTGATCCTATGGCCTTCCGTGTTTGATCCTAAACGTTCTTTCTGCACGAATAATACCAGATGTCGTTGAGCAATTTTTCTTTCGAAACCATGGACGAGATTTCCTATAGAGTACATCCCATGAACATGGATTGACTCTCTTGTTTTCCTGTAGATTGAGCAATGGAAAAATTGTAAATGGTCCACCAATTTCTCAGTTCTGCGTGTAACTTCTGATCGTAATTTGGAGCAAATTCGGACATCGACTTTTTTGAAATTCCGAGACGCTTGAGAGCATTTTTGCAGCGGTTGCTCGCCTTTTTTCGCAAAGTCTCTCTTCGATTGCATTTTCGATTTTTTTTCCTTTAAGCTGTCTTAAAAGCTGAAAAGGTGAAATGGAACATTGGTGAGGGACACTCCTTTTTATAATCAAATTTAAGAAATCGTTTGGGTTCTTATCAGTAAGATAGGATGACGCCCATTTGAACCGTGATTTTGATAGAATCAACACTGGACGGTTTACTCCAAACAATCTGCCCTATCTGTCCAAATTTTGGCCGTGAGTCTCCCTTTGGCTGGGCAAATATTTCCTGTTTCAGAACTTTTTTTTTTCGCTACTGCCCACCGCTAATTAGCTTCTAAGAGTATTTATCGAGTATTGTGAAGAAAAGTTCCGGACTCGCTATATAAGGATCTCTCCCGTGGTAAGGTGGGGGCACACCCGCAAGTGGCCCGAGCTATTGTCCGCGCCTCTAAGGGTCACGTGAAGCCAGGCGCTAAGGATTTGCTATCACCGGTCCAGAAGGATGCCCCCTTGCCCCACCTCCATATCTGGCGTGTGAAGATCTCTTTTTATTACTTAACTTTCTTTAGGGCCGAGTGGTGCAGTGGAGTGGCGCGCTCACCACGCAAGCGGTCCGGGATCAAATCCTGGGTCGTGAGTCGCCAGGCCAACCAAGCCTTCCATCCCTCCGGGGTCGGTTAATTGGTACCAGACTTGTCTGGGAGGATAAAAAACACTGACTTGAACATCGGCTGGCCCCCGCAAGTCATTGTATAGGCCACATCGCATTCAAACGCCACTACGAATGTACAAATGGAAGTAGAATGCGTGCCGCATCCCAAAAAGGGATTGATCAACGGCAAATGCTTTATCCTTTATCCTTTAATTGTGAAGTTCGGGCTCATCTTCTTCACATTTCTCCCTGGGTAGGTGGTGTCACCACCGCCCATGCCGAGTATTATCCCGCGCCCCTCTGAACGCGTATCAAACACAGGCGTTGCTAGAATTTTGATATCAGTCCCAGAAGGAATCCGTGCCCCCTTGATATGTGATTGGCAATCAGCGGCCAAGGGATTTGATAAGCTCACCACAAACGAATTTCCCCAACGTAGTCCGACAGCTGGTCGACATCGATAGTGTCGTGTCGTACACATTTGTGTGCTGAATATTTCTGGTAAAGATGGGGCTTATTTCAAGACAGAGCTCAATTAAACCTTACCATTTTTGGCCAACTTTCGAATGAGCAATTTCCGTAGTTGACAACAACAACGGAGAAATTGAGTGCCATCCGATTCTCGATGTAGTACTCAACTTGAGCTCCGGCTGCATCCACATCGGCTTGATCTCTGTGAATTAGGTTACGAATTGGCTTTCTCATACAAGATTTGTGCACTATGTGAGTTAGTCAACATAGAATGAAGCTACGCTCCGCAAGCGCACGCCGCCGATCCATGCATTGCACACTTCACGGATGAATTGACGATAGAACGAAGGTCAAAGGAGGAGAAAATTGCGGACCTCCTGAGGGTGCTGACCGACGCGCAATTGGCAGCGAAAGATTTGACCTCGGCGATCTAGCATGGCTCACTCTTGGCGCGGTTGGCGGGTACGCCCACCGACTATCTAATCACTCGCCGCAGGTCTATACGTGGCGAGTGATTAGATAGCAGAGAGAGCGTAGTGTTGAAGAGGGCACAGCGATGAGAGTCGCATCAATGCGCAAATCAACGGGCAAGGGAAGGGGTCCCATTTCTCGGGTTCTGGGCCGTTTCTCATGGTTTTCCTTCTTTCGTGTACCACTCACCATCCCTAGGTTAATTTGAAATGGGTTGCTTTTTCATCGTGAATTCGTGCCTTTAAGTGCCGAACGCTATCTTTTGCTGCCTCGGGTTTGTACTACTACATGGTGGAAGTGGGCGGAGCTGTCCGTTGGGCAAACTGACGGAATCACCTCGTTTCGATTAAGCGCTTCATGCCACTTGCCAGCGCCTTCTCGATAGGATGAAGTTTCTGGCCCCAAAGTATTGTGTACAAGTAATATTTTCGAAATCTTTCCTAAAAGGATAAAGCATTTGCCGTTGATCAATCCCTTTTTGGGATGCGGCACGCATTCTACTTCCATTTGTACATTCGTAGTGGCGTTTGAATGCGATGTGGCCTATACAATGACTTGCGGGGGCCAGCCGATGTACAAGTCAGTGTTTTTATCCTCCCAGACAAGTCTGGTACCAATTAACCGACCCCGGAGGGATGGAAGGCTTGGTTGGCCCGGGCGACTCACGACCCAGGATTTGATCCCCGGACCGCTCGCGTGGTAAGCGTGCCACTTGCCACTACACCACTTCCGCCCTTCTGAAAAGAAATGACCAC